TGAATTTCATCCTCCCATAGGTAATTCCACCCTATCCTAGATATATAAAGGGCCACAACTGATTGAGCATAGTACAATCGACTAAATCACAATTCAATCTACTTTTAATTTTAAGTGGTAGATGATTCGAAACAAACCGGCCCTTGAAATCCGTTTGTAGAATGGTTGGCTAAAGCCTCTTGAAAATGAATTTTTAGGAACGGTTATCTTAAGGCAACTGCCCTTGGAAATGCATTTTCTGCCATAGTTGGCTTAAGACAATCGTCTCCTGAAAATGCATTTTCAGAGATGGTTAGAAATCCGCCTCACAGATGGTATAGAATTAGTTTTGAAAACCACACATAGAAACTAGTTTTTGACCGCTCTACAAATCGTTTCTAAAGCAGCGACTACATAAAATCGAGTGTGGTAATATTCCGGCCGAGTAGCTCGCCGCTGTTCCAACAAACCTTTAAATAATCACAATTCGTAACTTGTCTTTGTTATTAGGTCAAGCACCGTAACACCCCTGTTCCTCATAAATAAGTTGTAGCTAGAAAGTTGTTAAGAAGTAAACTTAATTTGCGCTTTCTTTGTTTAAGGTGATGCAATGAAACACACCACGCACATCATCCAATGAATGCTTTACGAACACAGACCGAGAGATATTGACTTTTTCACATCTGTAAATACATTCTCACATTTCTTTTTTGATCTTTTTTAGAATTACCACCCCTCATATACAAACAAAAGAACCTTGCATGTTCTTTTTATTATCGTACACTTGATGGTGCTATCACTAGGTTGCTTTAGCTGACAGTCAACATTAAAAATCATTCATCTCGTATATAACCAATCTGCGCTTCTGCCACATTTCTACTAGAAATACTGCACCGTGTCTAGGACTCACCAAATCATTGTTTTCTTCAGAATTTTATACACCATATATATATTGTTTACTAAATATGTGTCTTGTACCATCAACTTGTTCTTGTGTCAAAAAATATATTACTTTTGTGAGAATTAATATATTGTTTTGAAAGCTATGCTTTCCACGAATATTTGTTTTTGTGACGCGAGCATTTTGATTGGTTCCATTAACTTCGTGATTGCGGCTACACGCCGCCGCCGTCGCAAATGACAATGCAAAGTTCTTGTAAAAGTGTTCCACTGGGAGACGGAGTATACTATGGAGGATTCCTGCTAACAACAAACACCGTTGCTTGGATTTTGCTACTGGTCTAAGTAATTAAATGGGCTGTTGTGTTCTCATAGCCGAGGAAAAGCGAAGCTTGCCTGTTGTGGCTCTAGGTTAATGGTTGCTCATTGGAACGCACATAAACGTCAACGATGTTTCCCAACTTGTACTCCCTCCGTTTTTTATTAGATGTCATATTAGCTTTGACCATTGATTTCAAAACAATTATATAGATTCATGTCATAAGATTTATATTTTTAGATTCACTGTGAGAAATACTTTCATAATATATAATTCATATGTTTTGAAACTAAGATTTTTTTTAAAAAATGGTCCGTCAAAGATAATAATGTTTGACTTCGGATAAAACTAATGTGACATGTAAAGAAAACGGAGGGAGTAAATTGGATCCACTGAGCCAATATTAAAAGCATATAGATTGACAATATAAACAAGGTTGGCTATGTCAATCTATTTATATATATTGATGCTCAAAATTAGAAAATTTTGATTTAGGAAACACTTAGATGTAATAATTCTATCAAATACTATACGAGGAAGTATGCCAAACGAATATGACCACCATATATAAATGTAAAAAGGGGCAGCACTTATTTGAAGGTGACAACAGGAATTTCGGCAAATGATTGAGCCTAAGAGCTCATGTAACTTTTGGTTATGTATATTTTAAGTGGATGTAGAGGCTGGATTTTATATCTTTTATCTAAAAAAAGAGAGTACAATGAAAATCGTCAATAGAGGGGAAAAAATAAGAAAATCTCCTTCGCTACAAAATGTCTTCATTCTACTGCCATCTCGACTCATGAGAGATTTCTTCGTTGGAAAATTCTCCTATTTCTCATGTTCCAGAGTATGTGTCACAGTGGCATTGAAAGCTCAGTGGACTCCTTGGAATTGCGCTTGACAAGTGACAAGAAGCTCCATTGCGGAGAGACAATTGATGCATGCACTCCTTTTCTTTTTATTTTCCAAATAATAAGAAGAAAGTGATGCTGTGATGGCCTAGCTGCATAATGTGACCCAACATGACATTTTTAGAGGGTGAACATTCAATCCCACATCAGCGAGATAGGAAAAAGAAAAAAGAGAAGAGGCCATAGAAGTCACAGAAACCACATCAATTTTGTACTACTTTCTTCTGGAGCCAAATGTAAAGAGCCACACCCACCCACCCAGGGTTTTGTATCCCCAGATGTACGGCGATAAGCGTAACCATGTATCAGAAATTCTCGTGATACTTTGACCCAAATGAAAGCGAGATCATCGCGCCTGGAAGACGAAGAGACGAGACTTCCTTCTTCTCTCTCTCTCTCTCTTTTTCGCTCAAAAAGAGACGAGGCTTCTAAACCCATGGGGCTCTGCTCGGCTGCCGCTGCTGAGAAACGCCGGCGCCTCCCACCAACCGGAGCCGCAGTTTCTTTCTTGACCCGGGGACCAACCAACCGTCCACGAACACCAGCTTTCCTTCGCGTTCGCCTGCCTCTGACTTTGTCTTGTGCACGCAACTGCCATCCGATCCGACCGCAAGGCACCACCGAGCTTCCAGGCTTCTTCCTCAAACAAAACCAAAGCCAGCCAGGTATGAACCGCGTGCCTCTTTTCCTGTCACATGACATCACCGCAGTCCACAGTCAGAGTTCAGAAGCGTTGCAACACGGGCAAGAAACACGAGCATGGGATTGTTTTCTGTTGTCACAGTCATATTAATCTAGAAGACGTTCAGTATCCGTGGGCTGGGCCTGCAGGGAATCCAGTTCGTCCGGTACATGTGTTCCAGAATCCAGATGTTGGAATAAACTTCCAATTGACCTTTTTGTTAAAGAAAAGATTCCTCAAGGGAAATTGAAATTGCACACGGCCAACGATATTGTATATATATGCATATGGAAGTACCATATGATCGTCATCAGGAGCATGAGCATGAGATCAGAATCCTCAGCTGCAAATTCGGCTAACGTTTTCCCTTGTCTGAATTTCTGATGGATGTGCTGGCAATGCAAACACGACGACAATGGAAACAGCGCATATATTCGCATGTCGTTTAGTTATCTATGTGGATCAAAACCGGATGAATCTCGACACAAGCCTCATTTGAATTGCCTTCTACTCCCGCCTGGGTAGGGTGATTAAGGCACATGAACCAAAGAAGTGCAGTCAATTTGTCACACCATCATATTCAGTATTTCCTACAAACCGCGGGCATAAGATTGACCTGATGGTGCGCAAGATTCAAGTCAATAAAGATGGGAAAGCAGATTATTAGGCCAAGGTCAAGTCGTGCAAGTTTCCAGAATCCAGCCTCAAAGAACCTTCCATCATTTCTTTCTACTTTGAGTGGCAAAAAATATTAACAGGACAGGGGGTGAGATTTTGCAGGTTACTACCAAATTGTAAAGAGTAGTCATAGAATGAAACATGTGATCATTTGACGTACGTAATCACAAAGGCGGTAACAAGAATTATATAGTAGTACTCCTGGAGCAGTGCATCTTTGTTTCCACAAGAAGCACCCACACAGTATGTACAATCCAACTGAAATGATAGAAAAAAATCACTAATAAAACTAATGCTCTTTTTTAATAACAAAAAAAAACTAATCCTCTTTGTAGCGGAAACAACCTCTGACTGGAATATATTTTTTTTTTTTGAGCAACCTCTGACTGGAATAGTTGACTGAGCGATGGATATACAAATCATTTGGGGTTTCACTCAAAATCAATGACTTCAGCCCATCAAACTGTTCCAATCGGGTGCAAATCCAAGCTGATTGTATGGAGGTGGTTGATACAATGCTAGGTGGAGGCTTCTCACCTACGGCTTCGGCAGCAATATACGATGAATGTTGTCCGCTCTGGGCGGATTTTGCCGCAATTTCTATTAGCCACTGTAATAGGGAGAGTAATTTAGTAGCTCATGAGTTGGCTAGGCAAGCAATGTTAGAGAAAAAGCTCTTGTGTTTAGATAGATGATCCCCCTACATCTATTCGCCAATTACTTGTAAACGATGTAACTATTCTCTCGAATCAATAAAGCTTGCCGAATGGCTTAACCTCAAAAAAAAAAAAAAAAACTGTTCTCTCATCTTTGTGGAGGCAAAACTGTTGGCTCATATTTGTGGAGGCATTGTATGCTTGTCCTCAGAAATGGATAAGCCATAATCAGCAATAAACCATACAAAGCTATTTTTAGGGAAGGAGAGCAACCTTTCAGTGACCTGCCCTTGCTTATTCACAATCACAACTATTTTATCCTTTTCAGGTGTATCATGAGGCTCATAAAAAGAAATAACCATATTCAATCTCATGCAGACAATGGAATGTCATGTAACTTAATAGATGGTTAATTCTCCATCACTCCAGTACTTCTCATTTAAACAGGGCATAAACATTTCAATGAAATACTAACAGGATGGGAATAGAGCTGTAGCAATTCATATATGCATGAACTTACAGGAAAATATTGGGTGCAAACTACCTTCTCAGTGGAATCATCAAAAAGAGCATGGATTCATCCATCTGACGAACAAATGCAAACTGAAAATATAAGTTATATTTAGTTAGCTAGAAGGAATGGAGAAATTCGTTAAAAAAGAATTAGATTTCTGCTAAAAAGAAGCAAGACTCTCAAGCGGGCCACTGGGCCGAGCTACTATGATGAGATTATATGGGCCCTGAGAGCAAGTTCAATAGGCTGAAATTGGCCCGGTTTCTCCTACACTGTCACGTTTCGCAGTCGACGCGAGCCAGCTTCCCCCATTCGTCTTCCACAAACCCCCCAAAACCCTCGCGCCGCCGCCGCCGCCATGTCCTCGTCGCCGTCTCTGGCGAACCGCCGTCCCGCGGGCCCGCTGGCACTGGGGCTGGAGTCGTCGGCGAACAAGATCGGCATCGGCGTGGTCTCCCTGTCGGGGGACATCCTCTCAAACCCGCGGCACACCTACGTGACCCCGCCGGGCCATGGCTTCCTTCCCCGGGAGACCGCGCAGCACCACCTCGCGCACCTCCTGCCTCTCCTTCGAGCCGCACTCGCCGAGGCCGGCGTGGCCCCCGCCGACCTCGCGTGCGTCTGCTACACTAAAGGCCCCGGCATGGGCGGGCCTCTCCAGGTCGCCGCCGCGGCCGCCCGCGCGCTCTCCCTGCTCTGGAGGAAGCCGCTCGTGGCGGTCAACCACTGCGTTGCGCACATCGAGATGGGCCGCGCGGTCACTGGGGCCGTCGACCCCGTCGTGCTCTACGTCTCCGGGGGAAACACGCAGGTTATCGCCTACAGCGACGGGAGGTACAGGATCTTTGGGGAAACGATTGATATCGCCGTCGGGAACTGCCTTGACCGGTTCGCCAGGGTCCTTGAGCTCTCCAATGACCCTAGTCCCGGCTATAACATCGAGCAGGTAAACTGTTCGATCAAATGCCAATTTGGTTATCCAATAGCTGTGGCTTAATGTTGTTTTAATTCTAGCTGTACATGCACATAGATGCTGGTTTGTGCTCGTGTTTTTCTAGCACAAAGCCTTGTCACCAATAGCCACTGCATCACATACATGTAAATGCCTTGGGTGGCAAACCATGAGGACTTTAGTATGTAAGGGTGTTTATGAGTCTGCGAGCTATTGGTGGAGCTTTTCGGTACCTCTTGAGCTTTCTACTGATCCTAGCCACTAGTATTTGGTTGGCAAACCACTAGCTATCAGTGGAGCCTTGGGTGGCAAATCACTAGTATTTTATTGAACAATTGACCCACACAATGAAATTCTTAGGCAGTTTAACTTATGCTGGCTGTGCATTTAGTGGCTAGTTTGTCGACTCTGTCAAATCAGTCGGGTTGTTGTACGTGTGGGCAAGATTACTTTTCTATGTTTGGTTGAAACATTGTAGGGATCATATGGTTATATTTTTGTATTGAGCTATACAATATGCTGGGCAGATCCTTTGTTGTTTTGTGTGACAATGCTTGCGTAACGATGTTCTCCATGGATTTATTCAGTCTATGTGATCACTTGTGTTTCCTCATTTTCTCTTGAACTAACACATGTAGGTAGTCAAAACTATCTCAGTGCTATTTTGCCATCTCATACAATCAGCCAAACAGAATTTAGCTTTTTATATACAGCTGAAGAACATGTATAGGGTGTTTGGTTTGAGGAAAGAGTCCATCATCTACCCATTCCACACTTTTTTTGTTTGGTTTGTGGAATGGAATAGGTTGATGCATCATCACCTTAGTCCTCACAAGCAAATAGTTAGTACTAGTATGAGGAATGGAGTCATTCCGCCAAATTTTAGTTAGGAATGGACTCATGATGCACTACCTCATCTAGGATGGTTTGATTCCTCAAACCAAACACCCTATTATTGTATGATCATGTCCAGGTCGAGTGCATCCATTGGGTTGTTTGGTCGTTTAGGCACTTTGACCTGTAATGGGATCATAATTAGCTTCATCCCAAGATTATGTATGTTTCGTTATTTCTCAATCCTTTATTAGACTATATTGAGACTAAATTTAGCTGACTGTTTGAAGTGGGCTGCATGTATTGGGATGGTGTTTGGGTTGGCTGTATGTGCTAATTTATTTGAGTGGGAGGGAGCAGATGTTATTTCATATGCTGCATGTAACCATGCTGGATGACACTGCGGCAATAATGGGTTGTGTGTTTCCATGTAGATAGAGGGATAATAGGCTTTTGAGCCCTGGAAGCCTTCCCATTTTATCCCTGGATATAGAGGGCTTGAGCTTATAGGATAATCCCAGGAAGTCCCAATTTGTTTGGCCTATGTTCAGATTCAACTTCAACTTAGAGGCTAGTGGAAGGTGGAGATTGGCTAAACAGGTTGGAGCTTTATGCGTAGCGTAAGCATATTAGCCATGTAGTTCGAGAAAAAAAACCATATATGCCATAAGGGTCTTCTTAGTCAAGGGCAATATCTGCTTAATTTATCTCTCTGTAAATGTACTAGAAGCTATGCTACACTCTGTTTCTGGATTGCTGATTGACATGTCATCGGATACATCACTAACATTAGTGCATGATAGTTTTTTATTTATACTTATGTTTGCATTGCAACTTTGCATCTGAATGTTACAAGGGTCTGTACATTCTGATTATCCCTCTGCTGCATGTCATCATTGGGTTAGCTATGTTTTGGAGGTTGATCGTTGTCTACGGGTGGCATGATGGGCCCTGCTCTCGTGGAAAGGTGTGTGTTAGGATGGTAGTTAGGTATACATTGGTCTGTAGGATTGGCTGAAAGCATGGTAAACTGTAAATGGTCTGTGATCTGAGCAGTGATTATATAAGTAATATTGTTTTATATGGTGTTATTCTTTCATGGAATCACCACAACCAGTGAGACACAGTAAAGGGATTTTGCTTAATCCCAGTCATAATTTTGATTATTTATTACAACTGTATGCCCATCGGCCAAAATAAGTGTCATTTTTGGGTTGTCTACAGTTAATGCATTCAACCTTTGATCACCAATATATTTTCAAATATTTTTATGAAACTTTTGAAAATGGGCATGGCTAGATTTGTCTTCAAAAGGAATATTGTAAGCTTTATATATTTAGCACTGATAAATTAGCAGGCTTTATATTAGTAATTAATGGTCAAGATAGTGTCTTTGTGACCATGCAGCATTGCATCTGTTCTGAACAACACTTAGTTTTGACAGGATGTTTTTTTTTTAAATAAGCTCATAAAAGCATTTTGCTATTTGTTCTGATCAAAGTTGGGCCAAACTATAGAGTCTCCTTCATGAAAGCCTGAAATGCTGCTAATTCAGTTCTCTTCCAAGACAGTTCACTTCTTACTTGATCCTAGAGGATAGTTACTGTTACTGTATACTTATTACTTCCCTTCATATCGCAACTAAAATCAAAGTCGTGGTTCCTATGGTTTTATTATTCTTAACATTAAGGATTCATCTTACTCAAGGTTTAAGCATTTTCCTTTTTGTCATAAAAAATTTCATTTTGACTACTAGTGGTACCTGCTTGCTCTAACTAGAAGTATAGAACTGCATTGTCTGCCTACCCACCTTACTTGGACTGCTGCCTTGCTGGACTAGTTCCCGGGCTAGGAGTTTTTTGGTCACCATCCTATTAGGATCACCACTTATGGCTAAATTGTTGTGGCTGCGTAGCGCCCAGTGCCTTGGCGACCCAGGTGGCTTCCTTCTAGAAAACTGATTATCTTTAACTTTTAGCTATGCTGAAATCATAATCATTAGAGGCCCATTCCACATAGCTTTGAAGTTCTTCAGTGCTATCTTATTTTACTCCATGTTCGTATCATAGGCAATATTGGGGATTCCTGCCATCACGTCAAAGAGAATCTTGGTCAAGTTACAATGTTACATATCTTACTGTTTTTTGGCCTCTTCTGCTGTTTTTCTGTTGTTGCCTATTCACAAATATTTCAGTTATGCCACTAACACCCTTCCCCAGACCCCGCACAGAGCGGGAGCTCTCTGCACCGGGTATGCCCCCTTAGCTTTAAGTTGTGGAAACTGGAAACCTCTCACCTTGATTAGCAATTTAACTTGTTTAACAAACATGATTTATTTCAGGAGTGGTAAATCATGGTATAATTCTTAATGCTTTATTATTAACATTGGCAACAATATGGATTATGTCTGTGTGAATCTTTCAAGAGAGTACTTCTGAGGTAGTTCCACATTCCACATGATATTGTTATCTACCATTCTACCTTCATTATTGTACTACCTGTCAGGCTGTCACCATTAGCATTTTTCTTCTTGTTTTTTTTTGTTTTGAAGACATTTTCTCTTTGAACAGATTTATGTCTTTGTACAACATGGCACATTCTTTTCTCATCCTTGAGTTTGGTTTCTTAATGTACCATATTTATTTTCCTTGTCCAGCTTGCAAAGAAGGGAGAAAAATTCATTGATCTCCCTTATGTTGTGAAGGGTATGGATGTGTCATTTAGTGGCATATTGAGTTTTATTGAAGCTACGGCGATTGAAAAGCTTAAAAATAATGAGTGCACACCTGCAGACCTATGCTACTCATTGCAGGTACTCGCATGCTCTTAACTTTCTCCCCCTTATGGATAATAATTGGTTATGCTTTGTTGACAGCGACACTGATGAAAATCATAATTTGCGCAGGAAACTGTCTTCGCTATGCTTGTTGAAATTACTGAACGTGCAATGGCGCACTGTGATTCAATGGACGTTCTTATTGTTGGTGGCGTCGGTTGCAACGAACGTTTACAGGAGATGATGAGGATTATGTGCTCAGAAAGAGGGGGTAGGCTGTTTGCAACTGATGACCGCTATTGTATAGACAATGGGGCAATGATTGCATACACTGGTTTACTGGCGTATGCACATGGTGTGACCACTCCCCTGGAGGAGTCGACATTTACGCAAAGATTCCGAACTGATGAAGTTCATGCGATTTGGAGAGAGAAGGAGATGCCGGTGCTAAATAACATCCATTCAGATGCAATGGCTGAAGTATCTAAAGATGAAGCCTCCATGCCGACACCAATCGTTGTAGATTCCTGAGGTACAATTGGCCTATACAATTATGTCTTGCTGCTAATGTTTTTTCATGATAGCTAATGCAATTTGGATTGCTGGAGACAATCTCCCTCAATTCCAAATTATAGGACGTTTTGGTTTTTCTAGATACATAGTTTTGGTTATGCACTTAGATATACACAATGTCTAGATACATAGTTTAAGCAATGTATATAGAAAAGCCAAAACGTCTAATAATTTGGAATGGAAGGAGTACTTGACAATTCACGTGGAATTGTGGTTGATATGGTGGTGGGTGTGATCCCACTTCACCTGCGTTTGATTTTTCTACATGATGAATATGCTCTACAAATGAAGCTTTCACACAAGTGCACAAACCATGTTGTTAATTGCAAAATTATGCAACTTTTTTGGACAATATGAAACAGAAGGAACCATTACATATTTTTTATTTTTTTATGCTTCACTGCTTATCCTCATGTGTTTTATTTCTGAACAGTCACAACCCGACGAGCTAATGGTGGGTGTTTCTTTTCTGTCACAGGCAGTAAATGCTTGCACGGGAAGGTCTAGAATCACTCCTGCGTGTGATACCTTTGCTTGCTGATTGGGAGAAGCCTCTTCCAGGCACATGGCAGGTGGCTCCGAATTGTTGTGCTGCTGTATGAACTGCAGCAGGTAAAATGAATATATGTTGTATGGCTGACATACCTGACGATAGTTGACATGGATCAAACATTGCCAATCACCCTAACATTCTGGTTAGTTATTTTTCTTCATAGAGTGAACTTCTGATTGTTGTAAACTAATAGACGCATTTCCACAGCTAGGTTAACTCTTAAGTTACTCTTGTGATGGTAATCTGTTTCCGTTCTAAAGCAGCCCCTTTTGGATGGACATTTGATTCCTGGTAACGTGGGTCCATAAAAAAACCCCCACAAACGTGTGTATAGTCTGACAGAAGATGCAAATCGGATTTGGCAAGGAAAGTGGTTTTTGCTCATAGTGTGTGTTGGGCTGTTGTCTATGGCCCACGTGTCATTTATGTTGGACACGCATGCGACTGGAAGCGGGCTGTAAATTTTGTGACAGTCTAACGGAAGATTTGAAGTATTCTATCTTTAGTACTCATGTTATTTGAGTTTTATCTTTAATTATTTTTCACACTAAAATATAGTTGTAATAATGCATAATAAGTATCAGGTACAAAAATACTTATCAAGATAACTCTATACATATGGATGACGGTGAGAAGTTCATAAAATTTTGTTGGATTATTTCAAGTATTAAGCATTTATGACCAGTGGGTGTGTTTGTATGTTCCCTTTTGCGGAGAAATAAATTTCCGTGGCATAACTTTAGGGATGAAAACGAATAAAACGAATCAGACATGAATAAATAGTAACAAATGTGCTCATGTGTTGCAAGGAATGTATGCCTTAAAATTTTAAATAATGATCACGTCATAGGTTCCAATATATATTGGGGAATCGGACTTCGTATAATCGCTAGGTTGGTTGAATGGACGACACCTGTGCTAGTCTGGCGGATACGGGAACGAATCCCTCGAAACCGACGGTTCATAGCCGGCGGTGATGGACACTGATTATCACCGCCGACTGTTACCAACGGGGGCCAAAACCGTTGGTGATGGGGTCTAGAACCGGCGGCGAACTTTCTGTAGTAGTGGATGTCCAATTTAATAGTCAATGGAATACTATCATCTTGGGTACTCATTTAAAAGGGTGTTGATTGTGACAATTTTCCTAGAAGGATGTACCAAATATAGAAATGATTAGGATAGAAATAATATTATAAATATTTTTTGCATTCCCTATTGTGGTCAGCCTCCGCCACCGTCCATCATAAGCCCTTCACACCACCCTACAATCCAATCCACTAACCAAGGAGGCCACTCGCTACTATCTACCACACCCGATCTTGCAGGGCTCTAGTGGCAAACCATCGCTAGCCTCTTCTGACACCAACACAAACTACATATCTCACCCCCCTCACGCCGCCTCTTCATCTACCGGTGAATCGGCCTCCCTGAACTTTATATGCAGTCCCTAACCACGAGAACCCTAGCCCTGACATGCTTAGATCTAGAGGAGGACAACCTACCTCATAAGGTGCCGATGGTTTAGATCTGGAGTGCACGGATCGGAGGTGGGAGGGTGGGTTGGAGCGGGGGAGTGAGAAAACCGCGTTGCAAGCTATTATTGATAAAAAGCAAATATAAGGTTGAGCCAGCGCCGCGGGATTTGTTTTATTCCTATCTCAGAGAGGTGTGAAGGCGTGACACTATCACATGCATATTCGGTTAGCCTTATAAAAAAGATCACAATATAAGCGCATATAATTGTATATTTAATTTGGCAATCAAGTTCATATCTTAAACAACATACTATAATTCACGTATATATAATATATAGGTTCAGGATAATATTGTACCAAACAACAATATGCTTGTAAGAGCCCGGCAGGGAGGGGCCCTAGGGGGTGGCGGCTAGGGTTGGAGAGGGAGCTGTGGGCGGCGGCGTAGGGAGAGGGCAGCGGCGCTAGGGCAGGAGAGAGGGAGATGGTCGGCGCAGGAAGGAGGGAGAGGGGAAGGGGAGATAAGCCTTGAGGCAATCCTTTCTTGATTCCAATGATTACATAGCCCCTCTACTTATAGTCCTGGGTAGACTTGCATCATAAGTAATCTAATGAGGGAAGTCCTTATAGATATGGACTCCTTCCTATCTTAGCTAATCCTATTCCTATTGGAGATCCTCCGGATATGGATAGTGGAACGGCGAGGATCTGCCCTTGCTTGTGTGCACCTCCCCTAGGTGGCGTTGCTGCTGCTACCATTGGCGGCGGCCCTCCTGGCGCCGCTGCTGTTGTTGGTGCCTGGGCCATGTGGGCCTAGGGCCCTCATCTGGCGTATGACATCACTCCCCCCTTTTCCGATCAGCGCGTCCTCATGCTGAATCATCGTCCAATCGTTGACCGCCTCTGGTGGTGATCTAGCCTCCCGAGGTAGCTATGCAATTTGAACTGTCATGTGGCCCAAGGTGTCGTTGAAGTCATTGGTGGTGATGTGGTAGAGAACTGGAAGCGGTAACTGCACAAGCCAAAATAGCCGGAGATGTGGTAGCTATCGTTTCCTGAGCCTTCAAGTGGTTCATGGGTGGAGCGAGCAGCATAGATGGTGGCGCCGGAGAGCGTTCCTGGGAAGTGTAGTGTTTGCATCTCCTGTGGAGGTCGTGGAAGCAAGTGCACCTGACCGACATCAACTTTTCCCCTTATGCGCCAACACAATGATGTGGCAACGATGGTCGGTGGTGTCGTGGTGAAGTGTTGTAGCGTGCCGAAGAGGAGGTTGCCGGTGTTGTAGTTTGCCAGAGAGATCAGCGAAGGGGCGTCGGCGTGCTGCCTGCCGATGTAGGTGTCCATGATGGAGAGGAACTGTTGGCCGTTGTTGTCGAAGAAGACGATCGTTGCCGATGGAAGCATGTGTTGTGGCCATGCCTCGAGAAGTAGAATGCTCGAGGGGAAAGCTTGCGTTGTTGGGGAAGATGCCGCTATGTGGAGACCGATGGCCAGGAGGTGTGGAGCTGAAGTTCCGAACGACTCGAGCAGGTCCTGTAATAGAGGTGAAGTTACCGAGATGTAGTATCGTTCGTTGTAGCAAACGATGCCGTGTCGGAGGGACCAAGCTAGAGCTGCCACGTAGAGTTCGATGATGGCTGAGATGACCTGAAGTTCGCGCTCATCTGAAGTGGCGAGGCGAAGTTGAGCGAGAATCTCTGGGTCCGGCTCGATACGGGCAGCCACTCTGGTGCTAGCTAGTGGAATCGATGTCACGGCCATAGCGGAAAGCTGGAGTGGAGATGCGTTGGCCGATTTGGTGGTGGAGCTATCGGTGTGACCCCTTGGCGTGGTGTCAGAGGGGTTGTCGCTGACAGAGGAGGATTGCCCCGTCTTGGTGGGTGCAGGTGTCAGGGTCTCCATGGTGCGGGCGAGGTTGATGGCCGTCTCCATGGAGCGAGGATGGTGCCGCACAACCGCCTCTCAGAGTGCATGCTAAAGGCCATTGACGAAGAGGCTGACTTGATGTTATTCGCTGGAGATGCCGATGAACAGAGCGTAGGTGATGAAGTTGTTGATGTAGTCATTCACGTAGCCGGTATGACGAGGTGGTGCGAGGTCGCTGGTGGTGTCATGGTCAGGGCCAAAGTTGCGGATGATGCTCTCGGTGAAGTACGCCTACTCTATCATGGCTGTATCCTTCATTACGCGCATGTACCACTGTTGTGCTTCACCTGTCAGATGAAAGGCCGCGTACCAGGTTTGTTGTGCTTCCGACAGATGGTATAGGTTGGAGAATTACAGCATGCGCGAAAGCCATGGCCTCGGATCCGTCAAGCCATCGTATGTAGGCGTCGTGAGCTGGGTCTTAACAGGGGCACATCGTCGTTGTGGTGTAGTTGGCAGTACTGGTGGATCGACCCTTCGTACCTACGTCCTAGTGGCCGGCTGCTGCTGTGGTGGTGCCTTCTCCTGCGGGGTAGCTACCGGGCTGACTGGGAGACGATTGGATAACTATGCTGCCAATGGCGTCTCCTGCTGATTGGTTACTGACGCATGATGGACAGCTGGTGGTGGCGATGGAGTCGCTGGCGGAGTCGTAGTTGATGGTGTTCTCGGTAGGAGCTCCCGCTGGTGGTTGTCCTAGACTGTGACTGACCAGATGATCGGAGGCCCTTCCAGTGGTGGGAAGAGCGGCGCCATTGGAGGCTACGGTGATGGAGGTGCATCTGATAGCAAGGTGTTAGAGACTGCGAGGATGATCTCTGGGGCGCTGGAAGACTAGGGTTCATCCAACTTGCGCTTGAGATAGGATTTGCCGGCGACGATCATGACTCGCTTGGTTTCCGCGGTTAGATCGTTGATGGTAGCTTCGCGGTCCAATCTGGCTTGGACGATGGTGATGGCGGTGTCGCTGTGGATGCGTGCACGCTCGATCGCGTGTAGACGTTTGTCGAGGTTGATGAGTTGGTGATGCATCTCTCCGAAGTTCTTGCGGAGATCGGCGGCGAGGTTGTCGAGCAGCTGCTGCATGGTGGTGGTGGTGGAGTCCATGGATCGTCTGTCTCCGAATACTAGTGTAGGAGCCCAGCAGGGAGGGGCCCTAGGTGGTGGCGGCTAGGGTTGGAGAGGGAGCTGTGGGCGGCGTCATAGGGAGAGGGCAACAGCGCTAGGGCAGGAGAGAGGGAGAGGGTCGGCGCAGGAAGGAGGGAGAGGGGAAGAGGAGATATGCCTTGAGGCAATCCTTTCTTGATTACAATGATTACATAGCCCCTCTACTTATAGTCCTGGGTAGACTTGCATCTTAAGTAATCTAATGACAGAAGTTCTTATAGATATGGACTCCTTCCTATCTTTGCTAATCATATTCCTACTGGAGATCCTTCGGATATGGATAGTGGAGCGGCGGGGATCTACCCTTGCTTGTGCGCGCCTCGCCTAGGTGGCGCTGCTGTTGCTGCCATCGGCGGCGGCCCTCCTAGCGCCACTGTTGCTGTTGGCGCCTGGGTCATGTGGGCCTAGGGCCCTCATCCGGCGTATGACAATGCTTCTTACAATATAACCATCAGCGCAACCAAGCAGATGTCAAATATCTAGGTATGCATAACCATCATGCCCCAGATTACTAAGACCAAACGATACACATATACCACACCTGCAACAATGATATGGTGCATATACTAGTACATGCTTACACACATAGCTTATCGACTAGTTATTACAGAAATATATAAACTATGCGTTATTTCACAAAATGCAATGCAAATATAGATATAACATGCATATTTATGCGAATTCATGTCTTCGCCTCCACCCTCCATGTTTACTCTTCAGTACTTGTACTTCCATATGCCATCCATCCCTATGGTGGTGGTCGCGGACCCTAGGCCGGTCACGGATATCATCGACGAGATCTCTGCGGCATTAGCTTGCTCATCCTTTTGCAACACCATCGAGGATGGCCTACTCTCCGGCGCAGCAACATAGAAGCCGCCAGCGCCAGCTGCTCCTATGTCCTTCTGGCCAACAACTCCAATGCCCATCTGGCCTACTGGTGCCCCCATGTGCATCTGGCCTGCTAGTTCCCCCATGCTCATCTAACCAGCGGCTACCCCTATGCCCATCTGGTGGTAGAAGTTCATCGGCGGCGGCACAACCATCGGATTGCCGAACAGGGCACCATTGATCTGAAGCCCATCAGCGCCACTGATACTTGCCATAGGCGGCAGCACCAGTGGCATCCCCACTCCAGCGTTGGGGTTGGGGTAGCAGGGGGGCACTATATCCATGGCGAAGTCTGGCAGGATGGGAAATTGCATTGGCATGGGCATGGGTTGTGGTAGCTGCAGCGGCATAGGGATGGGCATGGCCAGGATGTTGTTCTGATTCTGATCAATCTCAGCACCGGCCATGGCCACTTGGTACGCCGGTGCAGTCGTCTTCCCGATCCTAGTGGTCTTGTGGAACACATGACAGACCACCCACTCATCCTACGCGAATTTCATTTGTAAACTAGAAGCAAAATCAGATTTGGGTAAGCAAATAAAGCAAGTAGCATATTAATATACATCATGCCAGTATTGTTACCACTACCACGCACCTTGGAAGCTGAAGCTGAAGCTTCCATAGCCGTGGTGGTGTTAGTGGCTGAGCTAGATGCGGATGTGGGGCCAGGGAGCCTGGCGCTGCCTTCGAGCCTATACTCGTGCATCACCCAGTTCGTTTTGTTGCCCTTGGGAGCCATGCCTTCGTAGAAGACAAGCGTCTTCTTCATGCCGATGAGCTTGCCGGTCGCCTTCCAATAACCAGCTTCCGTGACCCTATTCGCTCTTAGCCCCGTCGGGTACTTGTAGTCCTTGTGTGAGAAGAAGTACCACTCTTTCTCGGTCATTTTTGCCTCCCCGGCCTGCAGCATGCGATCGAATTAAGCGCCATATATTAGACCACATCTCGATCGCTAGCATAGCAACATGCATCCATTGCACGGATCAAACAAGACCAAGGCGTATATGTATGTACAGTACAGATCGAGGCTGTTTGTTACATACTCGGGAGGTCCCATGGCTCAGTCTTATTTTGGTCGACCTCCCCGAGGGCGCAAATGAAGTCCCTGTTGCGCACCTTGTTCGTGAGGTAGTCATTGACAATCTCAAAGTCACTTGGATGGAAGCGGAACCCTAGAGGCAGGTTGAGGCCACCGGCATGGACGATGTTCATCTCCTTCGGCTGCGGCTGCTGCTGGTCTGCCATGGTTCTCTTGCTCCTTAACTGAGGTTAGATCCAGGAAGCACCAACAATCGTATCAAGAAGCAAGGAATAATTCGCAGATAGTACTAAAAAACAACGAAGCATACATACATGCACAAACTCTTCTTGACCCGCCGGTAAGTCTAGGCCTCTTGCTCGCTCACCAAGACGAAAGCAGGAAGAGTTGTTCTGGTGTAGTGAGCCAAGTAAAAATGCGGAACAGAAAAGGCCCTTCATTTTTTAATTATTATAAGTAATATTATAGATTGTATTAAAGATACAGATAGATAGAGAAAACCCCCCTTTTTAATATTATTATAAATAATCTTATAGATTATATAAGATATTATATTATAGGTATAGATAGATAAAGTGTAGAGATAGAGATTTATTTTATAGAAAAAACAAGAGAAAAAAAACAGAAGAAAAAAGAACCAAAACTCCAGGGCGGACGTCGGACGGTACCTCCGATGGATAGGCAAAAGAAAACATGAAACATTCCGACACAAGAAAAAAACGAAAATGCTCATGAAAAAAGAAAAACGAAAAAAAAAGAAACAGGAAAAGGTATGAAAAAGAACGTTGGACGTTCAAACACAGGCAAAAAAGAAGAAGAAAAAGAAAGCCTCAACGACGGACGGTTTTAATAAATAGATAAAAATAGATACGGATTTATACTAGGATAAATAGAAAAGAGGATAAACTTTTCATAATTTAATATTAGAAGTAGAATAAGATACATATATTTGGATTATGCTTCCTATTCGGGATCAGATTACTCAGGATCAGAGGATCTATTTAGATTAATTAAGGTTCCTGGCTATACAGGTTATGTCTAGACGCTCTGTATATGCTATATATAGCAAATGTGTTCGTGCTTTGCAATGGAACACAATGCGTATAGCAATTATCCTAACTTTATGAGCGCGGAGCATGAGTCCGGCTCACATACAAGATACTTGTAGGGTGCGACTTAATACGTTTTTGAATTGGACTCTTTATCCATCATCGCTACACGCAAGTTCTCTTAACTCGTATGAATGTGTCATGTGTACGAGTCATATCTATACCATCTAAAAAGCGTGGAAGCCTTTCGTCCAACAGGTTTGGTGCGCGTGCCCCAGCCTGACGCCGTGTACGTGCCTCTGTACGTGTAGACGCCCAGCCTCTATACGTGTAGAGGACTTGCTCGATCTGGACACCGCTTCGCCTACGTATCTGTGCAAACCGTGGCAGACACCCACCCTGACGCCGGTTTCCCCTCACATCCGAGACCTGCTTGGCTGCTTCCCTCCATCGCGTAACTCCGAGTCTGGTCCTCCCTCCCTGGCGTACTCCGAGATAGTCTGGTCCGCAATAGAAGAACAACCTTCCCTTGCTCAGTATAAATTTACACCTGAGTATCGCGCGGTGTTCATCTTCTCCTACCGAACGCTGAACGAGACGTGGCCATATGGACGTGGATGCCCATCGGCCTCACTGCTATCTCCTTCTCGAGCTCCTGCAAATGGCGCAGGAAGAGCCTGCGGTGGCGGCAGCGGCGCGGCTAGGGCGTGGCTGGGGCGAGCTGGCGTACTCAGAGTTAGTCTGGTCCGCAATAGAAGAACGATCTTCCCCCGCTCAGTATAAATTTACACCCGAGTATCGCGCGGTGTTCACATCCTCCTGCCGAACGCTTGAACGAGACGTGGCCGTATGGACGTGGATGCCCCTCGGCCCTCACTGCTGTCTCCTTCTCGTCTTCTATATTCATTCGTTGTCAAATTAATAAAGCTTCTTTCGATGCTCTTTACAGTTCGGTTGTGGGTGTTAATATCATGTCTGTATCTTTTAGTCATGATTTATTGAAACACATGCCATTAATCCCAACAACAAAGTTGTTGAAAAGTCTTTCATGACACATTCTCCTGAGTTTGGGAATACTTTATGTCCTCCCTATACAGGTAAAAGGAACTAAGGTCATATGAGCTTCTATATCTTTGATATTATGGAGTTCGACCTGTTGATTGGACAACCAATTGAAAGACTTATCTAAGAAGGACAAACGGAGAAGTTGAATATAAGACTTGGAAAAAACTTTAAACTTTCTATACCTATCACTCATTCTCTAAATACTGAGACTGAGTCAATTCCCGAAGAAGGCCCAATGAAAGAGGTTAAGGTTGGATCTCTTGATGACTTAATCCAACCCAACCTTAAAGAAGATGCTTAGTTCTTCATCGAAGAAGACGAAAATCCTACGGAGTCTGAACCTCTAGATGAATTGCTAGAACCACCTAAGCCCACCATTAAGCTTAAACCCCTATCTTCTAGTCTTAGATATACTTTTCTCAATAATGATCAAGATTCTTCTATGATCATAAGTGATAAACTCTCTCAGAAAGAATCCCTACGTTTGATAGATGTTTTAGAAAAGCATCGCTCTGCTTTTGGCTACTCGTTCGAAGACCTTAAGGGAATCAGCCCTGCTCTTTGACCTTATCGAGAGCCCCAACGTAGGCTTAACAATGCGATGAGAGAGGTTGTTAAGAAAGAAGTCTTGAAACTCTTACATACCAGGATCATCTATCCCGTACCACATAGTGAGTGGGTTAGCCCTGTTCAAGTTGTGCCTAAAAAGGGAGGCTTGACTGTTGTTAAAAACAAAAAGAATGAATTAATCCCCCAAAGAACTGTCACTAGATGGCGGATGTGTATTGATTACTGAAAACTTAACAAGGCAACAAAGAAAGACCACTTTTCGCTGCCCTTCATTGATGAAATGTTGGAGGGACTGGAAAATCACTCTTTCTTCTATTTTCTTGATGGATATTTAGGTTATCATCAGATTCCGATCCATCCAGACGACAAAAGCAAAACCACCATTACATGTCCATATAAAACTTATGCTTACCGTAGAATATCTTTTGGATTATGTAATTGTAACAACCCGGGTTTTTGTGCATCCAAAAATGCGAGCTTTTTAAAAATTTTCCTTGAATATGTGAAGCATGTAGCTTCTATGCCAACCTAAGTCAAACCCGCAAATAAATTGTTGCACTCATATAGATTTGATTGTAGGAGTGTGCCTGAGCTCTCGAGTTTGTTCTATGTTTGAGTCTTGTTAGAGTTTGGAGTGCACAAATCCGAAGCGAAGTTCTCTCAATCACCTTTGAATCCTTCTCAAATCTCTTTTGGAATACCTCTCAAATCCTTTTGGCAAAATTGGAAACCATCTTCTTTTCCCTTGGGCTCAAACCCCTTAGCTAGCTGACCTCTCCTCCTTCCTTCTCACCCCCGTCGGCCCAACTCGCCACCCTTCCTCCCTTCCCTATTCTACCGAGCAACCCACCAGGCCCAGCTTGCCTCCCCCGCCGTTCTGCTCACCTAGGCCCTTGCCTTGCCTCCCCCGTCGGCCCACTCTCTCTCCCCCTATCCTATCACCTCGCGCCAGCCCAGCTCGTGCCGCTGCCCCTTGGCCCATCAGCGACGCCGGCCCAGCTCGCTCTCTCCACTTCATAAGCCCACGCGGGAGCAGCGAGCCCGCTAGCTCGGGCACCAGCCCCCAAAGTCCCACATGCCAGCCCCACAGACCCGCATTGCTCCCTAGCGCCTAACCCTAGCGGTCGCTCGCCCCTGAGCCGACCCGAGCCACCGCTGCCGCTCCCACGCACGCGTACTCGCGCGCCCTGCACCCTAGGCGTCCACGCTCGCTGGCGATGGTCGCCATGCATCCCTGAGTACAGACATCAAGGCTCACCGCCATCCATCACCTTGAACCCTAGCCCGGCACCCTATAAAATCTGCCGCTCTCCCTGGTCTCCCTGCAGCCGCCACCGCTCCAACCTCTCCTTCCCTTCTTCCACCTCCGGCCGCCAGCGCCGAGCTCGCCTCCCTCCAGCAGCTCCTTCACTCGCCTCGAGCCACAACACCACCGACGCCACGCTGAGCCGCGCCACTATGCTAGCGTCGTGGCCCTCTGACAAGCTCTGCTAGCCCAAGCCCATCCTCGCCAGTGTCATGCGTCTCTAGCCACGGACACCGTCGAGCACGCCTCCATGCCCTTGTCGAACCGTGCCACCACCACCACCTCGTTCTATCGACCACCGCAACCACCCTGCTCGCCTCTGTCCTTGTCAAGCCCTCCTCACCAATGAGCTCCTACTCCTTCCTCGTAGCGCCACCATGACCACGACCACCTCCACGACCTAGAGCGCCTTTGTGATAGAACTGCCCAATTCATACAAGCGCAAGTATGGCTGCCCCCGTTTAACACATTGACGCGCACATGCTTTCACTTATATAAACCCGGTAGTCCGCCGAGTGTTACGAAGGACCTCGATAAATCAATATCACAACCAAGATCGTACGATTAAGCAAATACACATCATATACATGGAGTTGCAGCGAAAATAATGTTTACAATGAATTCACAAATAATAATACAAGTTTGGGTTTCAAAACCGATCAGTGAAAACAACATGGCTTTCAAATGATTACAATAATATAAGTTCCAAATACATTGCTAGAATATGTGACATCCTCTGACAAAAGCATATAGATAAGAACACTATATAGAGTCGTCGAGCCCACCGGCGGTTAGCCACCATCTTTAGCAGGCCGAGAACTTCACCTGCAACATGGTGGGATAAACCCTGAGTACTCGAATGTACTCAGCTAGACTTACCCATCATAAACCAAAAATAAAGTGACACCAAGGATCATGCAAGGCTATATAAGTGGAGCTAGCTTGACAATATTTTGCATAAAAGTCACTAGTTGAGCTATACATTTTATAATTTGGTAACCAAGTTAATTATAGCTATTCATCTCTAGATTAGCAACTAACCTCTGCCAAACATGTGGAATATCATTTAGTAACATGCAATAGTAACCATAGCAGGTGTAATATTTCCATGTTCATCATAACCATCACATTCCATAGTCCAATTACTACGATGAAGAAGCTCCGTCAAGTTTCTCACTATCCGGGAGAGACAGTGATTCGAATCGATTGCAACCAG